CATGGAGCAGCCAGGAAAGTGACCTTCTCTATTCCACCATCTTGAAACCAACCAGGTATGTATATCTTGCATACAGGGGTCATAAACAATATTTCTGAATGTAAAGGACAGTAAACAAACCCTGTGGTTTGTTCCACCTTGTAAATACCTCTATAGTCTCTATAGTTCAACCACTTTTACCCTGCCAGGCCACCATTCACTGCCATCAGGATCATAGCCATAGACCCTAACTGACTTCCATTTCCACCATTGCCCTAGAGCATCTTCTCTCAAGTACAGCAGCCAGAGTGGCCTCGAAGAACAAATCAGATCACAATCCATCTCTGCCCCCAAGGCTTTATATGAGTCTGAATCCAATCAGGAAGACAGAACCTTCTCTGGATATTTTCAAACAGAGGGAATGTATTATAGGATTTGGTTACAAAGATTAGTAACTGCAGGAAGCCACCACCACCCTCGGCTGGAGGAATAAAAGGTAAAATGGTGTTACACCAAACCTATAATCAGAGCCATAAGAGTGATTCCTGATGGAACCAAGCTGCGAGACCCAGCCCTCCCAGCTGCTGCTGCTGCTAGAGCAGCTGCTCTGTGGGAAAGGCAGGCAGGAACCTGGTCCAAAAAGAGGAGGGCTCTTCCTTCCTCCCATCTTGCACTCTCCTGCTGTTATCTCTCATTGGCAGACCCTGACAGGAAGCCACCATCAAGGGAGTCTAGGAATTGTAGTTTGTAGGTCTCCTGCCCCAGCATTCAGGGGCGAGTATAGGAGAGTACATGAGGTTGACAGAGAACAGCCCCTGTCCAGACCAGCATCTCACAGTCTCCAAGGCTTCTGCAAAATAGGAAAGCTTCCCCTCACCCAACACTCACAGCCTTCCCCTCTGAGATTCTTTCCACCTGTCCCCAGCTGCACGCTGCACCCACACTGGCTTCTTTGTTGCTCTCCTCTCTAGGAGTCTAACACTTGACATTTCCTCTGCCTAGAATGACGTTACCCCAGACACAACTCACTCCCTCTGCCCCATTAGGCCTTTACTTAAGTGACACCTTTTCAACAATGCTCCCTGGAAACTAGAACTGAACCCGTGTTCAAATCTCCATCTCTCCCACTGTCTTATTCTTCTCTCAACTATGTATCCCATTCTAATATACTGGACATTCTTTTGTTCTTGTATTTATATTTATATTTTATATTGTATAAACATTTTTCTGTATTATATGTTAACATATATATATATATATATATATGGCTTCCTGCAGTTTATATATATATATAATTAAATTTGTGTATTTAGTTATCTATATTTCCCCCACTGAAATGTAGGCTACACAGGGATGGGAATTTTGTCCATTTTGTCTACTAAAAAATCCTTGATGTTCAATAAAATAAATATTGTTGATAGTCAGCAATTAACATATTGTATACTTAAAACTTGTAAAAGGGTAGATGTTAAGGGTTCCTGGCACAATAATAAATAGATAATTTCTCAATGAATAAAACAAATGTAATCCTTAGTAGATGTATTTATTATGAGTTTTTTGATGTAGTTGTTTTGTTTTGTTGTTTCTCTTTCTTTCTTTCTTTCTTTCCTTCTTTTCTTTTCTTTTTTGTACCAGAGATTGCATCCAGAGGAGTTTAACCTCTGAGTCACGTCCCCAGCCCTTTTTATTATTTTATTTTGAGATAGGGTGTCACCAAGTTGCTTAGTTGCTGAGGCTGGCTTTGAACTCTTGATCCCTCTTGCCTCAGCTTCCTGAGCTGCTGGTGAGGTTTTTAAGAATTATACTCACTTAAGAGCAAGGGTAAGAAAGAGAAGATAATAGGGCTCACACCTCATCTGAAGAGACTCTCTAAGCCCACTAAGGTAGCTGGAGGTGTCACTGAGTGGTAGAGTGTTTGCTTGGCGAGTTCTGGGTCCAATCTCCAGCACACACGTGCACACAAAACACACAGCCAATAAGATTAGGAAGGTGTCCTTCCTATGTACTCCAAATGTTCCCTGTAATTATCCCAGAACTTGTCACACTCTATTATAATTATCTGTTGTGTATCTTCCTCCTGCACTGCAACTCTACAACTGTAAGATCCATGCAACACCAAAGGGCTGGTGCCTCTGGGCAACAGCATACATCAAGGACCTAGCAGGACTGTCATGCAGGCATGTGAGGCTCCAACAGTATTTGTGGTCAAATGTTAAACCAGAATACCATATAAAGGTCTCTGAACACCACTTCTTTCCCTGGTGTTCTGAAAAGGCAGAGGAGTTGACAGCTATGAGAAAACATACAAAGAGGCAGGAGGTAGTTAAGTATGGAAGCAAGGGAAACTAGTGACCAGTAGTAAGAAAGGGCAAGCAAATAAAATGACTGCAAAAAAAAACATTTTCATGCGTTTTATTAGAAGTATTTATGTTGCCCCCAAAGCATTCCATTGCTGAAGTATTTTAATAGCTGGATATTAGAGATTAACAAACAAATCTTGAAAAATGATTAAGTTATGAAATCAAAATCATCATAGAAAAGTAATGGGTCTCAATAGATAACAGATTTTACAGTGTTATTCTCAAGGGACATGGGGAATGGATGTTAGGGCTACAAAAAATCATTAACAAAAGTGTCTTTCTAATTTAATAACAAACTTTAGGAGAAAATCATCCACAGTATGTGCATCTGTGAACAGTGGAAATATAATTGCCTAAAATCATCGTTGCATAGTTTTTCTCCTAGAAGTTTTCCAATATATATCTACAAAATATCTGTCATCTTTTATGTAGATATTGTGGCTACATATTAAACTTAAAATAGATCTGTTTATTTGGTAACCATTCAGGAGCTGGAAAAAGTCCTATCACACACATACTGGAGCACCAAATTTATCATAAATAGCTTCGACTTGGCTTATAACTTCAGTGGTTAGAGGCACTCAAAATGTCCCATCTCGTCTTGACCTGAGAAGTAGTCCTGCTCACTGCCTGCATGGGTGCTACCTAAGCAAAGCCCCCAGGAGAGACTTTGGAAGGACAAGCCTCCTCAGCTTGCCTATCTCAGGGATGAACATCCTGTTTTGTGGTGGCCTGCTGGAGTGTTCAGTGTTGGCTCTCCCTTTCTTCTGCTTAATTAGAAATTCAATTTGACCAATGACAATTTCAGATGTATTATAAGCAACAGGAATTCAGTTCATCAGAAAGCTGCTTTTCGAGTCCATGCTTACCACATAATTTTGCAAAATACCTCCCAACCAGAAAATAATTTCAACCTGCTGCCTGAAGTGTACATTTATTTGTTCACTGGTGCAAGGTGAAAACTGAGCTAAATCAAGTGAGATACGTGCACACATTCCTGAAAGGATAATTTTAGAACAGGTTTCAAAGCTGACTCTGATTCAAAAATGCCCCTGCTACTTAGACCCACATGGAGATGCTCCCAGCCTCACAAAATGTCACTGAATAATTGAGTTTTGCTAACGGTGGAAGTGATTACAGCTGCAGTGGCTTCCTTGCTGGGAGAGGCAGGAGGAGGAGGAGGGGACAGTTTATTAGAAATAACTTTAGGGAGAGTACAATAAAAGCTGACATGCAAAATCCACAGCTACTGATTGCAAATCTGGCAAGGCTGCAGGCCATTCTCATTGCAGGCAGGGCACCTCAGGGCCCGGTAGGACTCCTTAAATCTGTTGGCCAGCATCGAGAACTTGCTGCCGTGGCACAGAGAGCAAGTGGCACTGCCAGAACCTCGGCAGTGAAAACAGTTGTCTTCGGGAAGTTCCCCTTCCTGCAAGAAACAGGCCAGGGTTTAGTTATAGCAGCAAGTTCAGGTTTATTATTCACATGCAGGTCTTGGCAAAGGCTGGGACAAAAATTAGAGAAAAAATACTTCCCACAAATGCCCAGTGATGGCCGGAATACAGGATAACAGCAGTTTTATCAGAGAGGATTTATCTGGTGAACATGGGCTAAGACAGCATCCTCTACCACCATGACTGGCATTCATAGACTTCATGTTCTTCATCATGCCTGTGAGCATCTGACGTGTTATTTCTGTAAGTTCCATAAGGGCAAAGACTTTATTTTTCTCACTGCCAAATACTAACAGTGAACCCTTGTGGCATGCCTGGTTGGTGCCAGGTACAGTTCTAAGAGCTTTTTATGTATCAGTCCATGTAACCCTTATAACATCCCAGTGAGATAATATGAGTGTTTCAGATAGAAACATGAGATCCTGAGAAGTTAATTGGCAATGGTCACACACACAATTGGGAAGAAGAGGAGGCAGGTTTTGATCCCAGGTGACTGATCACCAAAGTTCCAGCTGCTAGTGACTATGTATATGGACTTCACTGTAGTCTAATAGTAGATGACCCAAGAAAGATCATTTTGTGGACTGAGAGACTGAGTGGACAAATGAATAAATGAATCAGTGTTACCAGCCTTCAAAGCTTAGCTATCATTTCTTGGCATATTTTATTCCTCTTTGAGAACTGTGTAAGGCCTGGTGATTAAGAGCTCTGGGCTCAGGAGTCAATAGACAAAGGCTATTGCTTGATAGCAGCTGTTCAACTTGGACAGTTCCTTTCATTTTTCTAATCTGTTTCTCTATCTGTGAAATGGGAATGGGAATGCCTGAGTAGCTGGGATACCAAATTAGAGAATATGTATAAATGCAATATTCTCTGGCATTCTATAGATTCCCCATAAAAGTCAGTTTCCTCCGAAGTCCTGCCAATAAGTCTCCAGTCCTTGACTTTGACTCTAAAGAAAGTATACCTGGGTGATTATCTTGCTCTTCTCCTAAGACATCTCAAGGAAATCTGCAATTTCACACTCCTTATAAACTGTGAATCTCCCAAGAAATAAGGGGTGATACCAGACTGATACCAAGTCAATCCAATAATACATCCTGCCCATTTCACCTTCAAACATTTTCTCAGATCCATCCCTTTTTCATCATCCCAGAACTACAGCACCCAGCCCAAATGCCCACCCACTTTGGCCTGAATTCATATGGACCTGCTTCTGTTCCCTCTGGTGAGGCCATTCTCCCCAGCAAAGCCCGTCTCATTAAGTTTGCTATAGTCGTGATCCTCACCCACCCACACCTCCAGAGCAGAGGCCCTGCCCACTGCCATCTGCACTGCCCCTGGCTGCAGGTCTCCTGCTCTGCTGAGTGCACCTGCTAGCCAGTCAGCAAGCGCCCTGGGACAGCACCTTCTTACCACCACTTCAAGGGCAGTGTCCTTCCCACTGTTGTTCACATATTGGTGCCAAATAAACAAACACAACAACAATGTCTAAAGAGCCTTTCCTGTTCTTAAACTCTAGGAACAAGACAGCTGGAATCCATGGGGCAGCCCTAGCTCCACCCACCCAACACAGCTTCCTTTATAACCTGAGAATAAAAATAATTTCTGAAAAAAGAGAGACAGAAGTTTTGAAAATATCTTCATGATGTTGCAATGTGCCTAGGAGAGATATTAAATTTTATTTATTCTAGATTTAGGGAAGGGAAGAGGTTACCCAACCCATTATATTTGTGTACTCTTGTTAATATTTTTTTTTAAGAGAGAGTGAGAGGAGAGAGAGAAAGAGAGAGAGAATTTTTAATATTTATTTTTTAGTTCTCGGCGGACACAACATCTTTGTTGGTATGTGGTGCTGAGGATCGAACCCGGGCCGCACGCATGCCAGACGAGCACGCTACCGCCTGAGCCACATTCCCAGCCCCAACTCTTGTTAATATTTGATTGACATGATAAGCGAAATAAACCAATCCCAAACAACCAAAGGTTAAATGTTCTTTCGGATGTGCAGATGCTACCTACAATAGGCAGCAGAGGGGTTGGGAGGATGTGGGGGGAAGAGCGGGGAGATGGGGATGAGAAATTCCTTAGAATGAATTGGACAAAACTTTCCTATTGTCATATACGAATACATGACCAGTGTAACTCCACATCATGTACAACCTTGAGAATGGGAAGTCATACTCCATGTATGTATGGTATGTCAAAATACATTCTACTGTCATGTTTAATTAACAAGAACAAACAAAAAAATTAAAAAACAAAAAATTTGATTGTTGCCATATTTTAATATATGAATAATGAAGAAGTTCCTTTTCTTCCTTTAAAGTATTAAAAATAAATATATTTGCATATATATCTATAGAAAGAAAGAGAGAGAGAGAGAGAGAGAGAGAGAGACTAGAAATTGAGCACAGGTCTTCATGCATGCTAGGCAAATGTCCTATCACTGATCTACAAACCCAGCCCTGTATATTTATTTGTTTATTTATTTATGATACAGGATCTCACTAAAGTTGCTGAGGCTGGCCTTGAACTTGCAATTCTCCTGCCTCAGCATCATGAGTCTCTGGGATTATAGGCTTTTATCACAGGAACCTGCTCTGTTTAGTCAATCAACTAATTCAACAAGTATTTAATGAGCCTATATGTCATATAATACATATGAAATACATGCCTCTTTCTTCTTTTCTCAGTATTTTAAAAAATTCTTCTCAGTAAATAATTAGCAGCAGGATATAGAGCATAGCTGCATAGTGAGGCTTAGATTCTAGCCTCTAGCAGAACCACTCAGCCTACCTTTCACTCAAAGGCTATGTGGCTTTGACAATGGCATCCAGCACCAGCCAGAGCCTGCACGGCAAGGTGAATGCAGTCATAACATTGTCAGAGATATGTGCCTAGCCTAGACTTGACTACTGGTTTTAATTATCTCTGGCAAGTTACCTAATCTCTCTGAGCCTCAGTTTCCCCCTGCTGCAGACAGACCACTGGTAATACCTGCCACTCAGGCTCCTGTCAGTATGAAAGGGACTGAGGAGCACTGGGCATGATACCTGGTGACTGTGAGCCCTGTATAAATAGCAGCTGGTATTATTATTGTTACAATTATCATCATCATCAACATCATTATTATTATCTCAAAGGTGAGATCACATAAAGCATAAAGAAACTCAGACAATGTATATTCTAAAATCCATTGAGCACAAAGCCAGATTTTTCTCTTGTACATTTAACTGTGTCTCGATTCAATTATTCTTCTCCTTTTCTTTGATAGTTGATGTAGAGGTTCAAGTGAGGCCTGGCTTTCAGCCTTGCCCTGCTCTTTCATCAGGCTCTCACTGCGTCCTGGTTCCATATAACAGAACAAAGAGTCTCTTGGTCAGAAGGGGTTTCTTGATGTTCTTTGACCCTCTCTTTTAGAAGAAAACTTGTCTGGGCATTTATTGCATGAGGGATTGGGCAAACAAATAGCAATTTAAAGCAGAGTTTAAAGGACAGACAAGTGAAGTATAACCTTTCACGGCAACCGTCTGCCTGCACAGCTCTGCCCTAGTTTACAGCACTACAGCTAAGAAACACGCATCCCTCCAAATTGAATTTAAAGGTAATTGTCATATCAGGCCTGCTGTTGCCTTCCCATTTAGGCCTCCAATGTGACCTGCATTTTACCATTTCTAGCCCTCTCCCCCCGGGCCCCCCAAAAAGGAAGTTGTTCTTAAGGTTGGCATTTTGTTGGGGGAATTGTTAAAATTAATTTTTTTTTTTAATTCAGAAAGCAGAGCTTCGATTACAACTCTCAGTCGTCTGCCTGCTACAGTTCTTAATAGCTCTGCGTAGAAGACAAGAAAAGGCAATGACAGAGTATTCCTCACCAGCTTGTGCATTGGTTTTAAATCTCAATATTCTTTCAACAAACATTTAACTAAATATTTACTGAGCATGGACTCTATGCCAGTCGTTACTTTTTTGACACTCAAACCTCTATGTTGCACCCAGCATAAACATGGCCTCTACCATCATGGAAGCCAAATCAAAAGCCAAGAACAAAAGTTAACCAGATTAGCACACACACACACAAAAACAATTGCACTATCAAGAGGAGTGAAGAGTCCCCCAACAGATCCATGTTGGAGGGATTTATCTTCAGGAAAGCCTGAGAATTTTATCCCTCTCGGGGGATGATGTTTCCTCCCTGATCCCAGGGGCTGCAGGCAAGGTGGCAGAGAACCTGAGGAACATTCCAGGCAGCCGGGATTTGCCTCTGGTAGAACAGAACAAAAGAACATATGAGGGATGGTTCCATGAGCAGTGTGTCAGGGTGGAGAGCATGAGGAGAGAGGTGTGAGGGACGGGGCTGGCTGGAGAGGTCAGCAGGCCCTTCCGAGCTCTCTAGAACAAGAAAGGAGTCTTGGTTTTATACCAAGCAAGGAGAAGATACCAAAAGCTTTGGACGGGTAGTAAGTTGATGAAGTGGGTGACAGAACCAGATTTTCATTTCAAAAATCCATTGTTAAAGGTGAGATCAGGTTGGAAAAGAGACCTGAGTAGATGCCAACAGAACCTTGGGATCTTTCTCTGGAGACTGGGTAGCTGGGGCTCTGCGGGAGGGGAGGGAGATGGGAAAGCAGGAGAGAAGAAAGTGGACGCTGGAGGAGTCGTGGAAAGGTGGGTGGACTCGCAAGGTGAGAGAACTGAAGGGACAGGGGGTCTTTGGCACCTTGGCTGTCACTTTGAGGCCAGTTTCCACTTTCTTACTCTCATCACCTCAACCCTCCCAGAGTGGGATATGCATCACTCAGCTTCCCTCACCAGCTCATGGGAGGTGACAGGGAGTTCCACAGAATGCTTTAAATTGCAAGAAATGGAATCTAAGAACAAATTCATTTTCCTGCTACCCAAGATTTTACTCTCTTAGCTTAGATTCATCAAAACTGACTCCCCACTCCAAACCTCATACTGTGGATTAAAGAACGCTTTCCTCATCCCCCTCATCTGAGCTTGTCTGATCAGTGGTGGTTACACGCACAGGGCTGTGGAGGGAAAACATTGCAACTGCTTTTTATATTATATCTGCTTTTTATCTAAAAATAGGCCAAGAAATTAAGCTTTAATAATGTTCTTAATGACATTTTTTATAGTGATATTTTTGTTTGTTTGAGACCGGGTCTGGCTAAGTTGCTGAGGCTGGCCTTGAATTTGTGATCCTCCTGCTTAAGACCCCTGATTAGCTGGGATTACAGGCGTGTCCGTGTACCACACCCAGCTTCTAATTTTTAATAAACCGGTTGGCACTGGTGCTCTCACTAGGTCAGGCAATCCCTGGACAAGTGTGGTACCCAAGAGATCCTGGAGTAGGCATGACCTCCAGTGTTGTTGACAGTAGTGCCTCAGCTGTCAATTTTATTCATTTTCAACATATTGCTTTGTATTACAGTTTAGTTGGGCCTGAGATCATGGATTTACAAATATTATTGCTTAGCATTAACTAAACTAGTCTGCAAAATGGACTCCTGGCTTTATGCAATGTCTTCAAGGAGACTGAATCGAGGATAACAGTGGTAAGAGAGGCACAAATGAACCCAGGAAAAGAGGAAAGAGCCGACTTTTTTTGAGCTTTTAAAACTAGCTGTCATTAAGTCACATTGCACAGTGAAACCAAAAAATACATAATCATATCTCAAAAGAAGTATGCCCCAAAAATTTAAATTATGAATATTTGAAATATGGATTTATATGTATTCTTTGTTCTATGATTATTGCTAACAACATACCATTAAAAAATAACAAATACTAAAATGTCTTCACATCTTTAACATTTAGACATTTTGGGTATTCGTATTCAAAAGTTTTGACTTAAACAGTGCATAATCAAAATGATTCGGACAGCTATAGGGTCAGCCCCGAGTGGGACCATCTGGCCCTCTGACGCACCTGCATGTACTGATCATGAGGAAATGTGCTCTCCGTCTCTGGCAAAGGCCCATTGTTCTGGTCCCTGTCTCCATAGGTTTCTTCTTTGCTCATCAGAGACTCTTCCTCAGCCACTTCTTCTTTCTGGAGAATTTTCCTCATGAAATCCCTCTTGTCCATTGGGGTTCGGATGATTTTCAGGTTATTTGTGTAGATGATTATCTTTCCAAAATCTATAATAGGTGGAGGCTAGAGAAATGGAGAAGAAACATGAAACAACCTTCACTACCAATCGCCAAATACAGGGTTGCAGAAGCTGTCCAACACCCCAGGAAGTAGGAGAGAAGGAATTTCCAACATTCAAAGATTTCGAACACATCAGACCCGGAGTTATGGTTCATTCCACACCTTGTTTACTTTCTATGAAAGCTATGAAAACGAACCTCTTCCTTCTTGTTGATGGTAACTCTCAAAGTTAAACTACTCAGAGTGCCAGGCTCTGGAGAGTACACCACAACAGTCAATGCAGAGCTGGGCACAGTGGGTGCTTAATAAATGCCATGTAACACTTTTTTTATTCTATGTAAATGTAGCTCCACTTTTTTTGTATGCATAGGCAATATCAGCAGATACCATTTATTGAGCACTATTGTGTGCCAGATGTTATTGCTAGGCAGTTTACCAATTACCTTACCCCTCTGCAAACATCCCTATGAAGAAGCTTCCACATTTTATGGGTGAGGAGACTTAGTCTCAGTGGGGTTAAGTACTTTCCAAGGTGGCAGTTACTCAGGTACTGTGCCTGGGATTCAAACCCAAGTCTGTCCTCCTACAGCCCACATTCTTAACACCTGCCCTGCACTAATTGTCAAGAATTCCCCTTTCCCAATTGAGGATTGATGTAGCTACTCAGTTGTAACCTGTTTTTTGATAATCCATATAACATGAAAATATTTTACATCAATAAATATGCTTCTAGAGCATCATTATCAATAGCTCATGTTCACTTGCATGGGTTTAGCTTATGTTAGTTAATAGTTTGCTTAGGAACTCATTTGGGCAATACCATAATGCAGTAAAGAAGCCTGGAGGATAAGGGTGTTGCTTAGGAGTAGAGCACTTTCCTAGCACAACCAGGGAATAACTGCCGAGGAATTCCTTGATCTATCCAAAGTTAGGACAGCATCCAATCCCGATTCTATGGCAAGCTGCATCGAATCCCAATTCTCTGGTCCACCTATTGTGAGGTACAGGGGAGTTGGGTACGTCTCAGAACTCCGGTTTACTCAATTGACAATGGGCTGATATGCAGCTGGGAGGCACCACCACAGACAAGTTATTTACTAAAATACGGAAATCCCTTCACACTGGATGGTAAACAGGTATTTTCCTGAGACTCCTGAGTGCCCTCCTATTATCCAGCCTCCCTTCAGGAGCCTTGAACATCCCAAAATCCAGTGGATAAGAGTTCATTCTTAGAACCCCAAGTCCTGGGACCCTGCCCAATTCTGCTGCCTTCCATGCTGGTTGGGTATGTCCCTGTCGTTGAATATTTTGATTCTGATCCCTGGGGCTAATGATATTAACTCCTGTAGATGGGAGGTGGTATAAAAACCATAAAATAGGTTTTTCAAAAGCTGGAGGAACTACGCTAATGGTGGGCTTTGTTGTTTTTGCTGTTATTGGGAACTGTTCTTCAGTGGTGCATGCACACTCATGTTACATACCTAAATGCCTCCATGAAATATCTCCCCTGCTTACAAAACTACATAAATCAAATCTACTTAGATGCTACCGTCGAGCAGTCCCCTAATTAAAACCTTCATGTATTCAGCCAAAACCCTACTTGAGCCAGACTTCAGTGTTCAAGTTCCCTTTTTTGAAGCAGTGTGGAGTTTTGTGAAGCTCCCTATCTGGCCCTTTTTGTCTCCCTCTAGTCGAGGGATCATGTGGCAGCTTCCTTTTCCTGTGTCTTATGCACATTGGACTCCCATTTCACACTCCGGGACTATCAGTTTCCCACCATCAGAAGATAAGGAAGGAGGAGCTTTGGAAGGTTCCATTTCTACTCCCAGTGATAGCCAAAGAGGCTCAGTTACGAGGAGCCCTTTCACATCTCGAGTTGTCTTCTTTTCATTTCCTTTTTGGAAGGCAAAACTCTGAATATGTGAAGAGCATCAGGGATCATCTGCTCCAACCCCAGCCTCTAAGCTGCATCATCAGTATTTTTTAATATACTCCAAAGATGGAAGATCCCAAATCACCTTGAAGGTGTGGTTAAGTTTCTGTCATGCTCATAGCCACATTCTTCCCTGTGTCTAAGGAAACTCCCTGGTGTAACCGAAATTCTCATTATCTGGTTACACCCAGTTGCTCCTGAGGAGCAGCCACTTTTGTATGAGAGGGTCAGGATGGGGTCAGAAATTTATCATTTCCTTCCACAGCCCAGGATGGCCACCTGGTGGGTAAATATTTGTAAAATACTCCGGTGTCTGTGACAACATGTCTAGAGATTGTTATTCAGGTACTATTAAATCTTTCCATTGCTGTTTTTTAGATGCAGAAATGCCTTATTGGGTAGTAATAATGTGATGGGCTTTGTAGTCAAATCTGATTCAGATTTTATCCAGATATTGTTTGACAACTGTGCGAGACATGCAAGCTTTTAATCCTTCTGAACTTCTGTTTTCTCAATTTGTAAAACTCTCCTAGAAATATCATGAAGATGAAATTATAGAGTACGTGTGAAATGAGTTTCAGTAACTGTTACTTCCCTTCTTTTCTGCTTCCACATTTCTGTGAACCTCAGTCTTAATTCCTTAAAATATTTAGATTAGTTTACAGCCACTTTCTCCACCCATCACATAAAATAAAAAAGAATCAACATTTCTTTGATAAGAACCTGCTTTTTATTGCAATGGTGAGTAATATTTTCTAAAGAGATACAAGGTGCAGGTATAATGCTAAGTGCTTCATGTGTGTTCTCTTTATTAATCACAATAACTGCCCTGTAAGCAGGTACTCACTTCTACTGCCCTCGTGTCGTGGATGACATTGAAGATCAGCAAAGTCAAGTAGAGTGCCAAGCTCACACTCCAAGTGGGTAGAAATGGACATCAAGCCCAAGTTTGAATGACATCAAAAGTCCTTGCTTTCAGCGGGGTGCAGTGCCACATGCCTATAATCCCAGCAGCTAGAGAGGCTGAGGCAGGAGGATTTTAAGTTCAAAGCTAGCCTCAGCAACTCAGTGAGACCCTGTCTCAAAATCAGAAATAAAAAAGGGCTGGGGATGCAGCTCAGTGGCTAAATACCCTGGGTTTAACCCCTGGTATTTAAAAACAAAACAAAAACAAAAACAAAACTTGTTTTATTTGCATTATTAGTATTATTGTTATTGTTGTATAATATATATATTTTCCATTTTAACCATTTCTAAGTGTCTTAGTGTTCAGTGGCATTAGCACATTCACATTATTGTACAGCTAACACCACCATCTATCTATCTGTCTGCAGAACTTTTTCTTCTTTCCAAACTGAAACTCTGAATTCATTAAACAATAACTCTCTTTTACCTCCAGCACGTGGAAACCACCATTCTTCTTTATATCTCTATAAATTTGACAATTCCCAGTTTCTCTTGTAAGTGGGACCTTACAGTATTTGTCTCTCTGTGACTTGCTCCCTTCACTTAGCTTAATGTCTTTAAGACTCATCTGTGTTGTGGTGTGTCAAATTTTCCTATGTTTTAAAGGTGGAATAGTATGGCCTTGTTGTGTATGTACTATTCATCAGTTTATTCATTCATCAGCCAATAGACATTTAGGTTGTTTCTACCTTTAGCAGCTGTGAATTGTTATGAACATTGGGGTACAAATGTCTGTTCAAATTCAAAAAACTTTTCTTTGAATCATTGCTCTTAACGACTACCCGATGTGGTCTCCTAGCCAGTAGCTACTAGAGATTATTTTACAATTGGATTTGCTATTGAAAAATCATGACATTCCAGTTCTTGTCTCCTTCTTTTGCATGAATACCACATTGACAAACTTTCTCAGTGGGAGATGCTACACAAACCCATCATGGCCCCTCCAACCCAGAACCTGGATAAGATTGGGATGTGGCATTTGATCAGGAAACAAAGAATAGAAAAGATAATGAACCCAAACAGGAATCCTCTAGAGTACTGTTTTAACCAACTGAGCTGTGTGGCCGTGAAGACTCATTTATCGGGTATTGTAAATCCATGTCAAATCACAGATTTACAGAAATGCCGAATTTGGCATATGACTTATAAAGCAGCCCAAAATTGTCTACCATGGCCTTGTATGAGGTTTGTATAAAGTATGGCTTTTTAAATTCTAAACCTGCAAGTATAGCTTAAGATAAATTCTGAGTCCCTAGTAATAAGTACACAATAAATGGTAGCTGCCATTATTGTTGGTGTTGATGTTGGCATTGTCATTGTTGTTATGTAATGATCTTGTTCTTAAAAAAGAAGATGCCATAAGGCAAAAAGCATGAGACATTAGAAGATCTGGATTCTTATTCTGACTCTGTGCCAAGGGACCCTGTAATACTGAGTGGGTCCCTCATCAACTTGGCACTTAGCTTTTCTCACCTGCACAGTGGGAATGACCTTAACATTCTCTCCAAGATTATGGCAAAGATCCAATTCGATAGAGACAGAGATAATATGTGATAGCACTTAACAATGTATATGTTACTCTACTCACATAAATATTGAAAAGAAGCCTGGTAATCTTTGGTAATTGTGGACATTCCTATAATTATACTGTATCAATTACAGCAAGTCCAATACATTTGTCTACAGTAGATGTAGTGTCTATTCCCTTAGGAAATGAACAATAAAAAATGATTAGGAAGTAATTATCTGAATTTCACACTTTAGAGATGAGAATATACCCTGGTGTGTCATTTATTAATAACCTAGACACATTGTATAATTATTTTTAATGATGAAAAGGAAAAAAAAGGCATCCATGGTCCCACTGGCACAAGCATGTACACATCTTCTACAAATTTTGGCATCTGCAAGTATTTTCCAGGTTCTTCTAGCTTAAAAGAAAATCATGTATGGGCTTTTGATTATACATGGTACTAGAGAAGATAATTGAAATTCACAGATAAAATGCATGCTTCAGTTGAACTATTAGCTCAAACGTCTCCCCAGGTCACATCTCTGGTTGATTTGCTTTTCACCATCTCTTCCCAGGATTCCAACTAACCAGAGTCCATGCTAATGAGCAATGGAAAGGCAAAAATAATAAACGACAAACACTTACAAAGCAGGCAGTAGGAAGGTGACAGCAGGAAAACAAGACTTGGATAAACCGCAGCTGAGAAATCGGCTGTAGTAAAATGGGCACCTTCAAACACTCAGCTCTTTCAGGAAACAAAACGACCCACTGCTGCATAATTTTCTAAAATGGCAAGTCTGGCAACCTGAAAACCACTGCACCTCTATTTAATTTACACACCGAGAAAACTCAGCCAAAGACCCAATTACAAGGTATTACCCTGGATGGAATTTGAACGCTATTTATGCTCATTGCACTTTCCAATGAGTAGTCAACAAGCATGTTATTTTTGTCCCGGAAATATTATTCTAATAACAGCTTGGTGCATCTATGGCTCTGGATGGTAGCTGGTGAGAGCAAGAAACAAATCTGAAGCATTTAGGTGTTTCTGTAGACACACTGCAGGAAGCCCTACCCTTAAAGCTTATAACCACGCACAATACCAACCTTATGGTCATTCGCCTTGTAATCATTGAACAGAGGCTGGCTGCCTGCCAAAGTGTAGGCATCGCCCTCTCTGAATACACTGATCCTCTGAGCAGTCAGCTTAGGGGAGTACAGCGAAGGTTTGGGGGCTTCCCCAGACCCATAAACACCATCCATTGGCTCAAGGGACTCCTGGAGAAAACTGTGAGGGTATTCTTCCTTTGGCGACTCTAATTCCTGCCCATCCTCAAAGACCTGCTTCAACACTCGACCACTGTAAGAGGAGGAGATTTTAAATCGTACTTTCCGGGGTTTGCCGTCACTCTTCTGATTCAGCTTCTTCTCGGGGTCCTCCATTAGCAGAAAGTTCACCCTGTGGTTTTCAGGCTTCCGGGCAGCCAGTGAAACTTGGGCTCTAAGGAAAAGGCATTTTATTTTCTCTCCTCCTGCATATGATTAATTCAGGTTGGTGCTAGTGTAATGCTCAGTTTACAGCAACTGACACCCGCACATGAAATATTGATGGATCCTCATGAAAAGGCAGGGCACCGTGGGCTTATAGAATGGATGGAATATAAGACAAGACTGGTTCCCCTCCTAATTCAAAGCTCATCCATAACTTCACCCAACCCTGGCTTGTCTTAACCTGAGGATGAATACGTTTATTAGACTAAACAAGCACCAATTCAATAAGGATCAGACATTTAATCAATTAGCGATTGTCTTGTTGTTGTTACCAACAACTAAAATCCAGTGTGAACACTTAATAAGTGGGGGGGGGGGTTGTCACATGCATTATCTTGCTTCATGCTCACAATAACCCTACGAAGAATTGTCTCTTTTCCACAGGGAAAAGGGAAGCTTTGAGCTATTCCCTCATTTTCCACTTCTATTACAGCTAAGTACGTGACAGACTAGGCAATCAAACTCAGACCTCACTCCAAAACCGTGAGCATGTACACCAGGCCAAAAGTTTTCAAACTGTGTTTTGTGGGGACCTGGATACAATGGAGTTTCTTGTTGGCTGTTGCTTAGAATAGGAGGAGGTCAAGGGTCCTATATTCAGGGTCTTCCACTCCGTGTTAACCAAAGAAGCTCCACTTTCTAGGTATTTTATACATTCAGTCTCATTTGCAAGCACAGAACTAGTCTCCTCTGTCTGTTGCACCCAGTAAATGCCCAATACTGTGAGGGGATCAGTGGGATGAATGTCAGAGAAACACGAGCTGTGGGTCCTGAGAACAGTCCTACAATCCAGTTTAGGAAACAGACTTAACACATGTGAAATAATAACCTCAAGTTTAAGGGTGCAAACTGTCCTCTGCTAAAACCCACAACAGCTGTTCTGGGAGGGATGTGGTCTCTCGGGAGACAAGGATGGAAGAAAGCTTGTAAAGGAAAATGCACTCAGGTTGCATCTAGATGGATGGGCTGGCTCTGAAGAGCTGAATGGTGGAGTAAAATCGTTCTCCCTGTGTTTGCTGACAGCCTCAGTTAATTGCCCCAAATGACTCTCTCCAACTCCTGTAACTATTCCTAGAGATTCCGTCCCCGCTGCCCTCTTCCATCCACCCCAACACCCTGGCCCTAAATGAAAGCTTCATGGCCCCCGTTTTCAAAACTGCAGTTGCTTCTAAAGACATCTGTACCCATGTCCAATTCCATTCCCCACATTGTTGTGAAAGTTGTTTCCCAAAAATCTAGTCTGCATGTATCAGTTTCCCCTTAAAATTCTTACCAAGTGATCACTGCGTAACAAGTTCTAATTCTTTCATGTGACAAAGTTCCTCAGAATGTAGCCTCATCTTCCTCTCCAGCCTCATCCTCATCATTTTTCCAAGTGCTTCCTGGAATTGGGTTCCAGGCCCACCAACAAACTCACCCATTTCGTAGACCCTTCAGGTTTCTGCCTCTCACCCAGTACCTTGTTTACTGATTTGTGGATAAAATTTCTGCTCCTCTTTCAAGTCACACCCTGAATGTCTCTGTTTCTGGGAAGCCTTTCCACTACCCCAGGGAGTGCCACAGAATTGTGGGCCTACTGCATTAAGGCACTTCTACCTTTCCCTTGTCAATCCTGTGTTTCCTCCCATTCGACCATGAACATCTTAGAGTGACAACATCTATATCATCTCTCTATTCCCAGTGTTCAGCAAAGTGCCCAGTACATACCAGAACTCACTTAACAATTGTAGAATGAATCAATTCAGGTGAGAGAAGTCAAATAAATAATACTTTTGGAACAAGAATTGGGCATATTGGTTGAGAATAATGAAAATGTATAATCAGAAGGTTGTTAAGAAAAACATCTACCTTTCTGCTAAGGACAGGTAGTATCACAGTTATAAAGTGCCTGCGTGATCAAGGAATAGGTCAGGTAGAAAAAAAAACTAGAGAAACAACATTTTTAAAAAAAGAAGAAAACAAGCAAACTATGTTCTTCCTGACACAGAAGACATGCTCCTCTAGGTCCCCACTGATGTGGAGTGGCCCAGATGTGCCATGAATGGATTACAGGAGGCCCAGATTTTGATCGCTCAGCCTTGAGGACAGCCAGGTGGGGCCCAGGACTACATCGGCCCCATGCATTTGTCCAGCGTATATCACAACATCATTGCTGTCTGTGTGTGTTTTGCCATGAACAAGAGTAGGCATCCCCACGAAAAAAAATATTTTTTCCATCTGCCTCAGGGAACAGTTATTAAAAAATGAGCAATAATCTGTCTTTATCTAGAGGAGCCAGGGAACTGACTTCCATAACTAAGTGTCAAATAAACATGTCCAATTGTCCCCAAAATGAACACCCTTGGCAAAGGTAGCCTTCCAGAAGAGTGGACTCAACCAGAACAAAACATGCAGATGAGTTTTCCTAGTAACATTTGTTCAGCACTTTCTTCACGCCCCTTCCCATATTCACAGATTTTCAGTGAGCCGAACCAGTCGTGGGAAGTTTGGAAATAACCATGCTTGCTTGATAATTTTTAGATGGTAGTGTTTTCAGAATAGTCACAGTTCATACACTTCCAGAAGGAGGCTAAATTGATAAATTGAAAGCAATTTTGGCAGTATTATCGAAAGCCTTAAAAATGTTCATATCCTTGAGTCTTTCAAAGAAAGAAAATAACTGCCTGTATCAGAAGAAATCATGTCAAGATGCTAATATCGGTTGCCTCTGGGCGGAGGATGCTGGATGCTTTTTTTTTCATTCCCAGTTTTATTATATTTTATTCGTCATGATAAGCTCATCTTACTTTGATAATCAGGAGGAAAATACATTTTAAAAATCCATTAGTTTTAACCCAATAATTTCTCCTAAGGAAATAGTTTTAAAAGGATAAAAATATTTATCTAAAAAAAGATTGTCTCCATAATATTATTTATACTGGGAAAAAAAAAAACTTGAAAACAACTTAAAGGTCCAACAGTAAGAATTCCATAACATGAAAGACTATGTAGCCCTTTTAAAAAGATTTACAAAAAGTTTAAAATAATATGTTTATGGTACAAATGAAGTAGCAAAATTATAACAGAATTTTATGTTCTGTAATATAGAATTCACTATATAAAGCTGTATAGGAAGGAACTAAATGCATTAGAACACAGTAAGATATTAATGGTTTTTCTCTGAAAAAGAAATTGGGGTGATCTTTATTTTCTTCTTTTTCATACTTATTTGTATTTTTTAAAATTTTTCCACAATAAGCAAGTACTATTTTATATTAGAAATGCTTATCATTATATCCCATTGGCTAGAGAAAATTAAATCCACAACATTCTGCCATTTCTCTCTGGCTGAATTCAAATTAGTGTCTGACCAGGATAATCTTCATAGAGAAAGGGGACTCCAGTTATAGTCACATGGGAACAAAATGCAAACCAGAATAAACCCACCTGTGAGGTATTCTGGACAAAGGTCTTCAACATTTTTCTAATCAAGTCTTACTTTCAGTTTAGAGGAAAGATAAGGAATAAAGGAATGAGTTAAATGACCCAAGAGGAAAAACTCAGACAAAGTCATTCTGTGGGACATCTACAAGACACTGGTCTCACCAAAAAGTCAATGTATTAGGAAAAACAGAAGCAAGAGAAACACACTAGATTTGAAGTGTATAAAGAGATAAAATCAAATCTAATACGTGAACTTTGATTGCTTCCTAGAAAAATTTGACTCTAGAGTTGATCTCACATGGAATTAGAGAATTATTGTTAATTTACATAGTCAAGATAATGTTATGTAATTATATAAGACAATGTCTTTTCTGTAGGAGATACATGCTTAAATATTTAAGGTGACATGTCATGATGCCTGGAATTTAATGTGAAAATGTTCCTCTCAATATGTGTGGATGTATATTTAAATACATGTATATAGAGACATATCAAAATGGGGAAATGTTTGCATTCTTGCTGATTAATTATTATATTGTTACTCCAATATTTTTGCATGTTTGAAATGTTTCTAATAAAAATTGGGTTTTCTTCTAAAAAGATTCACCCAGATACCTAGGTTTGCTTCCATGCATTTTGATTTAGACCATAGTGTCCTCTGAATCTCTTTAGGAGTAGTATTTTTTATCCTATCCTGTCTGATGTCATTTACTAGGCTTTATTTTTATGTGTATTTTGGGATTTGGGAGATTATATTAGATATGTGTCTTGATGAGAGAAATGTACAATTATTGCAAATTGAATATGAACATCATCCTTTAGCAATCTTTCCACATCTATCATTTCTAATCAGAGTGGGGCTTATAAATTAAACATATCCTTTTAATCTGCTCATACATTACCACACAGTGTGCTCATATGTGTGTGTCGTGTGCTTATTTAAACTCCAGTTCCACATCTCCCTTTAAAATACTGTTATGACAGAAGGATATTACAGTTATTGATCATTTATAGAGGGGTGAAAGGGTTCATGGGACTTTATAAAATGCATGACAAACAAAATCCAGGTTTATTATCTGTCCTACTCCACCACCACCTAAAATACAAAGTCCCAAGGTAATGCTTCAAGAGGCTGTCATATCTCACCATCACCTTTTAAAAATTTTTCCAAGGTTGCGTAGGCTCCCTCAGGAATGAATTTGTCATTATGGATGGAGGTGTCATGGGACAGAGTCTAGTGGTTTGTCTCACTTGTCCCCATCCACATGGCACAACATTCCAGCCAAAATATGAGGTCAAGGGACTCTGATTAGAGGGAAGATGTGATCCACAGAGCTAATAATTATTTTCTGAAAATAAAAACCTAATAAAATAAGTCAGATCAGTGTTGAGGACTAAAACCATGTTAAACTGATTGCTTTACTGCAAGACTTCTCAGAATGTTTAATATACTAATACACTTTGTCAACCTCGCTGAGGGGGATACATTATTTCTAAACCACGGTTCCAACAAAACTCTTTTTATTTTTGAAATTTGATTTACTGGGGTCAATATTCTGAGGAAAATAGGCTGGGAGATTCTGT